CTTCTTTCGTTTCCCGTGACGGCCCAGAAACAAACCATTTGCGCAAACATTTAAACCGGGGCTTTTAAAGTGAAAAAAAGTAAACAAAATCATGCAACTTACAAGGGACATAGTTCGCTTCTGTTTGGAAAGTTCGATTGATCCACCTTGCTTAAGTGACAGATTTTGCTGCCCAGTTGGCCCTTTATGGGAAGCCACTCCAAATGCATGCCTTTCCTCATCTAGCTCACCGGCCTCATCCTCAGAACACGAATAACTGGAAAAGAGCACTTCAAAACGCGAAGCGTTAGCGAAAACAACTGGGTCAGCTAAGTTACCACCGTTCAAGGATTCTCCGACCTCTTCTTCTAGGTATACTTTTTCTTTTAACAATTTGTCTTTCTTTCCTCTTGAGGAGGCTATTTTTGGATAGCTGGACGTCCGCAACGTGTTCTGCTTTCGCAAATTCGCAAGACTATGTTGATCGCCATGAACTAAAGGAGTACAAGATTCTGCAACAGAGGTGGGTTGAGAGCTACCTCCGCAACTTGTGCCGTTTCCGAGAGAAATTGAAGTAGAAGCTATGTAAGAGCGATGAGAAGGCAAAGCAGCTCGCTCAAAATTTGGATAAGAAATCGGGAGAGTGTCAGATGTCGATCGAGGCATAGAGGTAGTAATAGAAGTGGTTAGAGAGGACGAGAAGGAGCGAGTAAGAGTCGGGAGTTTTGCAAAAGCGGAAGAGGGGACTGGATGACAAGATGTTTTAGAATGCTTTGCTGCTGGTAAAGCGTCAGCTAGGACCAAGGTTGGCGATGGCTGTTGTGGATGAATTGGAGAATCCGTTTCGGAGTCGCATTCAGTCTCATCTATAAGAAAGGTGGCGGATAAAAAAGACAGGAAACGAAAATGAATTGAACGAAGTAGCGCAGTATAAAAGCTAAATATAATAAAATGTGGGTAAAAACGGAGTCAAAATAAAATATAATGTTAATCGAGCTAAGATTAATTACAAAGAAAAGTTTGGTTTCGAGGAATCCCAAGGCTTATAATTGTTGAGCTCACTTCCATTTCGAGTAAAAGTATTTGAAGAGATTTTAAGACCAATATCACCAGGCGTCGGAGGATTCATCTTGACCAGTTGTCGATTAGCTCTGCTGGAACATTCTTATTGGCATTATTCCCGAGGAAATCTACTTCGATTCTGACGAAGCTCTTGCAATGGCAATCATCAACGTCATCGCCAAGGTTTGAGGACTACCATCACCCTTATATATATATATATATAATGTGATGACTGAAAATAGGCGTTATTTTTCTGTTCTAATTATCTTGAATCGCCACTGCTAATTTGGTAAATATATGATCATACGAAGGCACATTAACACGCATAGACATACATATTTACATGTTTCGAGGTTGACATATCATGAACTAACCGGGCTATTTTATACTTCATTAAATAGCCTAGATATGTGGGTTTTTTTACAGCATTTATGAAGAACTAGGTGAGTTTTTGTGAGTTGTTAGTTGGTAATAATTATACCCTGCTCTGATGATGTCCGTCATATGACGGACGAAAGTCTCATCTGAATTGAAGTAGATTGCCTCGCAAACAGTGTCAACAAGAATGTTCGAGTAAAGGCAATTTACAGCTGACCAAGAGGAATCCGCCGTCGTCTTCTGGTGAGATCGACCTTCGAATCTATTCACCAACCACTTTCACTCGAAATAAAAATAGCTCAACAATTAAGATTAATTATAGAGAAAAAGTGATATATAATGAACAATCTACTCGTTTAGTCCATCTATTTATTTATTTTAAAAAAGTAAATATATCTAGTGAATAAGTAGCGAAGTATCGGGGCATACGGATTATCATATACTTCTAAGAATTTATAACGATCATAGAAGGAAGGATTCCAAGTAGATGAACAGATTATAAGATTGTATCACACTATTATTCATCATAATACCTTTAATGAACTAAGATAGCTTAAATAAGAGCTTCGCCTTAGTCTAGAAATCTACTGACATGTACCTTTATAAGAGTTTATATTCGTCCGATAAATGCCAATTATCTTTTTAGTGGTGGATGCCGAAAGACGGAATTTCCATAAGCAAAAGTTCGTCGATTGCTGAATGTTAGGAAACTGATTTATAGATCCGCAATAAACTAAGAACGATCAAATTTCCCAAATATCACTTTGGAAAGAGAATTAATTTATAGACCAGGAACTAAATGCAACAGATTGATGGACTTACTGACCATGCCGAAAAATAGACACTGGAGGTCGAACTGAGCTAATTGATTTAGGACATGAAAGAATAATCATTTGAGTTATGAAACGTTCGAACATACACAGCCGACTAGGATAGAAAAGAAATAAATATTCGGAATACTAAAATATTACAAATAAAATCTGTTTCACAATCCAAATTCAAAAGACTTTTTAACGATACAAGCAATGATAATGTTAATAATTTAAATTAAAGCTTTCAATTTAAAAAGATATCACCGTCTCCAATAGGATATAATCGTCTTAACTGAAAGCTATGCTAATATCATATTAGAATTCAAAAAAATATTTAATTTAGAAGTGATCTGACCCCATATTCGCAACTTGTTAGCGCTTTCAGGGTGACCTCGATGAGTTAACCATGCCAGAATTCCTCTGCAATACTAGCCATGACACTTTTCAGGATCATACAATGGTCTCGGTACATTTCCACACGCTTCACCAGCGACGGAGTCAGCATCGTCAGTAAGTCTTGTCATTCATAGCACAAGGCTACAACTGGAAAGGAATGTACCGAACCCACAATCTGAATTAAATTGCCATGACTCTCATTGCAGAGGACTCCAGACAACATGCATTTGTCGAGACCCCCTTGGTAACGTAAACAAGTTGCCTAAACGAGGTCAAACCACCTTTATAGAGGAAAAGGAGACTACGACCAAAATAGAAACCACATCATCTTGGCCTTCATAGCTGCGAGTAAAAAAGCTATTTTGTCTAGAAAATGAAAATATGTCTACGAGGAAATAATAAATTACTTAATTCAATCGAAAAAAGGTTCCAAATTTTGTAAAAAAAAGATTACGTGCGACCACTAATGACAATAAAAATGATAAAATGGCATGTATGTACTCTCCTAAT